AAATTCAAACACTCTGTTTTGAATCATTCCTTAATCATTTTAGCTCCGTTGGTCTTATTTCCCTAAGTAAACAACAAGTTACCCCTTTGGCTGGGACCACAGTTGGTATGATTTCTGCTTTCTATGCAGTGCTCAATGCAGTGGCCACAAGCAAAGAGCCATGGGGCCTTGGCGTGGATGTATAGGGTGTTTTGCTCTTCAGACCCCATTCTGGACCTCCATGGTCCTCACCCTCTTCTAGAAAGAGCATTTCAGTTTCCTTTGGGAAACATTCTTCCCCCATTCTGTACATTTAGTTGGGATGGAGCTGACCTGTTCCTTTGCTCTCTCTGGGCATTGGCTCCTGATCTAGCATGGGAGCCACAGAGGTTGGGCCAATGAGATTCAAGCCTGGGATCTGTGCTTGAATTCCAGGAAGTAGGTCTTCTTCTTCAGTTGGGATTGCTGACAGGGAGTTGCTATATGAAGAAAGTCAGCTGAGGGATACAGAAAGACCAAGCCCTGAGAACACTGCTGGTGCTCCTGGATCCAGCCCAACCTGAATTCCAGATACCTCTGAGTTATTCAATTACTGTGATCCAATAAATATCTTTATAGCTTAAATACTCCATGCTTCAAATTGACTTCTGCTTGATAGCAGCTATTAATAATGAGCTTCACATAGCTATAGTTTCTAGGAAAAGCGCAAAGAGAAAGAGCTGTGGGCCAAAAGTCAAGGCCATGTATTTTAGTTCTAAGGAGGGCATGTATTGCATGGGGCACTGGTATTATATGCAAACAATGAATCATGGAACACTACATCAAAAAATAATGATGTACTATATGGTGACTAACATAACACAATAAAATAAAACAAAAGGGGCGCCTGGGTGGCTCAGTGGGTTAAAGCCTCTGCCTTCGGCTCAGGTCATGATCCCAGGGTTGTGGGATCGAGACCCGCATCGGGCTCTCTGCTCAGCGGGGAGCCTGCCTCCCCTTCTTTCTCTGCCTGCCTCTCTGCCTACTTGTGATCTCTGTCAAATAAATAAATAAAATAAAATAAAACAAAACAAAATGAATACCCTGACTATATCACCTCCCTGTGCCTCAGTTACTCTGTCTGCAAAATGGGGGCCACATTCTTATTCTTCTGGGTTCTCAATAATTCTCTGACTTCCAAGTTTATTGCTGAAGCCAAGATTTCTCTTTGGAGCTTTAGACCTACAAACATGATTGCCCTCTGGGATCTTTTTCCTCAACATTTTCCTCTTTCATTGTTCTTCCCTTTATTAGATGCAGATGGTACTTTGTGCTAGGAAACTCTAGCTGTCCTCGGATATCCACTCTTTTTTTCTCCCTCCAGAATAACAGAATTCCTGAATGTCAAAGGGGCATGTGACTGGACTACATTTCCCAGACTCCCTTGCAGCTACATGCAGCCACATGATCAAGTTTCAGCCAAAGGGGTGTGAACAGAAATGCTATAGAGAGATTCTGAGTCTGGCCCTTAACAGAGCAGGGGACAAATAAAAATAAAGTAAAATAAAGAGGGGTTAATTCTCTTTTTCCTGTTCCCCATTCCCACTGACTGGAACATACACATGGGGGCGAGCTAGGTTTTATCTTGCCAGCGAGGGTGATGTTCTGGATGGCAGAGGACAAGTAGGGCCTCGGTGCCTCGTGCTGTGTAGCAGCCCTACCAGCTTGAGCTGCGGACACCTGCACTGTTATGAGGGAGAAATAAATGGTCTTGTATAAGCCATGGTTATTTTGGGTCTTTCTTGGGGTGCTTGGCTTTTGCAAATTAAAAAAACAAAACAAAACACCTCATTCCTCACCTAGGGGAGAGCTGGAGAAGGGAGTGGTGAATTCTAGAATTGGAGTGAATATGGCACAGGGGACTTGGATGCTCCAAGAGCTTCTCATCTCAGTTTTCCCTGGGCATCCTGGGGGCTCCCGGGGAGGCAAGCGAGCCTGAAATATGACTCTTATTCTCTCCTGGGTGATCTTACTCTCTCTGGGCCTCAGTTTCTCCTTCTGTACTACGGAGACTATCTGAGCATGGTGATCTCCTAGGTCCTTCCAACTGTGACCTTCTGTGGTTCTGAAATTCTAAGACAGTTGGAACTCAGATGCCAGTGGGGCCAGGATGCTCCCATAAGTGGGTTAAACAGGCCAAGTGGGGGCTGTGGTTGGGCTGCAGAGCGGACACCCCTCCCCCCCCACCCACTGAGGCCAGTCACTACTCAGCTCCCGTTGATTGCTGCCACATGAGAATGTAGGATGGCCAGATTTTCTAATTTTTCAAGAAGAGCTGGAAATCTGGATTGTTTTGGTCTCTGCAATCTCCTGATTTTTAAATGTTGGCGACAAATTCACATTTTTTCAAATACTCTAGGGGCCAAACAAAAATGTCTGCAGGCTGAATTTGGTCGTTGGCCATCAGCTAGGCATTTTTTGTTTTGATACTATTTCCCTTCCTTCCTTCCTTCAACAAATATTTATTTGAAGCCTTCTAAGCGGGGGGTACTGTTCTATGCACTGGGAATAAAGCAATGAACAAAACAGGGCAAAAAATGTGCCTGTCATCATGTAGCTTTCATTCCAGCAGATCGTCCTGACTTACTCATGTAACAAATATTTATTGAGCAATTCTGGCCCAGGCACCGTTTGGCTGGGTAGGTAAAAAAGTGTTCACAACCCCTGCCCTCATGGTACGTATAGCCTAGAAGGGAGATAGACGGTGAGTGCATAATAGAGATGAAAAACACAGTAATAGCGAGAGTTGCAATTTAGATAAAGGGGAGTGGTTAGCTAAGTGCTCTTGAAGGAAGCTACATTTAAAATGGGAACTGGAAGTAAGATTTCATCTAGTAAAAGAACATGCTAGAACATTCTAGATTACAGCAGAGGCTTCCGGTGTCCCTGTTTCCCATATCCCCTCAGCCGTGTCCGTTCCTGTACACGCAGAGGCTTTCAGTTGTGAGCACTGTGCTCTATGGCATTCTTGGGGCAGGCCAGAAGTGCAGGGAGGTAACAATCCAGCAGAAGCCCTCAGCCTATGATGGAAGGGAAGATGCAAATACATATCCCAGTATCCTCACTCGTCGGTGGTCCACTCGGAGGTATGTCCTACAGAGTCTCCCAGGGGCCCCAGGGACCTACAGTGGTTAACAAATTTATGCAACGTGTATTGGCCACCTCCCCTCCCCCGTCTCTTTCCCACTCTACACCTGGTGCGTCCTGGGAGAAACCCAGCAGAGATTCGAGAGAATGTGGCCAACTTTGAGAACAGAAAGTAATTTAGGATGAGTAGCGGGAAACGGGGCTGCAGAGGGGGGCAGGAGTTAGCCCATGAAGGGCCTTGGGAGGCTGGGATTAGCGTTTGTCCACGGAGAAGCCAGTGACCATTTTCCAGCAGGGAAGTGACATGACTCCCCTGGGCCTGGGCTGTGGGACGAGCCCTCTGTAGGCAGCTGTAAAGGGCAAGGTCCACAGCTGGTGGTGGAGGTGGCTCGGATTAGGTGGTTGGATTAGGATTGGAGAGAGGATCACGTGGCACGGGCTCAGAAAGGCTCTCTGGGCTTTGTCCCTGTCTTGAGGATGCCCAAAGTTCGGTTTCAGAAATGGTGGTGACACAGACACAAAGACCATCGCCGAGATTACACAGCCTTCCACAATCCCCGAGAGCCCAGCTGTTGCACGCAGCTGTAGGACCTCAGAGTGGGCTACCTCTAAAGGCGAGAAGGGGGAAGGCATGCGTTTTAGGGGGTGGGGGCTTTACCGGGGGTGGTTAGAAAAGCCCTGACACCCAGACTAGCAGGTAACTCCCTATGGCAGCCCTTTTGGGATGGCCCCACTTTTTGCAATGCCTGCCAAGTCCACTCTGGTCTTTTTCGCAGCTCTGGACTCTGCCATCCTTTACCAAAGCTGTGCTCTGTCCAAGATCGCACGCCGGATTTCCCACAGGCACTGCTAGACATATTAACGGTGTCCCTACGTGGCAAGAGATTTCTGCACCACCGACACCATTTTTATATTCTTTACAACATAATGGCAGATGATAAATCTATCTTGCTAATTACACATCCAGCTTGTTATAACCCCCATAAAAAACACGAGCAGCTGGAAAAGCCATGAGGTGATGTCAAATCATATTTCTGGTCTCTAAACAGAAACAGAAATATTTTCCAGGCGCTGGTGAGTCTCATGGTTCCTACCCATGCGTGGAAGCAGCTGCCGACAGGTCGCTTGCCTTGGAGATGACAGCTTGCCTGTTCTCTAAAGCTCTGCCTCGACACCCCCACCCGTCTCCCCAAAGAGACGGCCCCCACATGTGGTTTGCTGGGAAGCCAGCGGAGAGAATGCAGAGAACCGGCAGGCTGTGGGTGTGAGCAGCTGGGTTCACTTTTGCACGATGAAGGTGGATTCTTCCATTCACCACCGCTCAGCTGATAACATTTGCCCCAAATCCTAACTGGAGGGTTCCCTGTCATACTTTGTCCACGATACGTTTGCAAAGCTGTTGCAAAGGTCCACGCTGGAACGGACAAGATGCCTCCCCCTCATCTCAGAAAAACGGAAGGAAAATGGAATTCATCTGCCGGAGAGACTAAGATAAACAACAGGGAACTAGAAAAATACTTTACCTCGTTTTTTAAGCTAAGATTACTGTTTTTGGCTGCCATGTATCCTCGCCCTCTTAGGAGGGAGACAGCCAAAGACTCTGAACTTAGATCCCATCAAGTGAACGGTGAACACTTCATGTGTTGGAAGGAAGGCATGGGGGACGACAGAAGAGGAAGCTAATTAAATTTTCACATGTTTAGGGAACATTCCATAGGAGCTCTCAAACCCAGACTGACCTAGAGGGGCAGCTTTTGTTGGAGAAGCCGCCTCATAAACTGCCCCCACAATTCCCAGGACAAACCAGCTGGACAGACCGTCATATTGAAAAACAAACAAACAAACAAACAAACAAAAAAAGAGACAAAGAGAGAAGAGACAAAATGGATTCTTACCTTCCCATATCTGGACGCGAAAGTCCCGGTGAGTAAGGAGTGAAAAATAATTATCGTCTCATCCAAATCCCACACGAACACACGCTGTGATGAAAGAAAGGAAGAGAATGGAGACAAATGGACTCGCTTGCTTCTGACTTAATGTCTGCAGAAATTAATTCCCCGGGAGGAGAAAGAAATCTTGAAAAACATTATCTTTAAGTTATAAAACATGTGACTCACTGATGTGTCACTGGGTCCCCATCCAACCTTAGCCGTGTAAAGTGTATTCTGATGGCCAATTTTGGGCTCCTATCAACCCAGAGATGCCAGAACCAAGAAGCCTGTTCTTGCCTTCCACATAAAAGCTCAAAAATGGAGGAGCTCAGGCCAAAAACAACAATAAAAATCATATAACTCATTTGAAAAAATGAAGTACTACCTTTTTTGCATTCACCACTCACCGTAAGCCCAACTACTTCTCAATACTCCTGTTTTTTAGTAATGACTTCTTTGCTTACCAGTTTGCCAACTTTAGATAACAGCTTTTGACTGAGCAATGCAAAAGATGAGAGTTTAACTCATTTCTCTAGGACTTTACATTTTTCACATATGTGAGCCCCACTAGTTCCAAGACCATCCACTCTGGACACTCTCCCCGGCTGAAACAGTGAATCTGCCATGGAAGACTCTGGCTGTTGGTGTCCCCACCCCCTCCCCAACCTCCTCCTCACTCTCATCTGAGCAGCGTTAGCCTTCCTTTCCCACCGCCAAAGTGGATAGACCACATTTCCTTCCAGGGCTGTACTTCCATCTTCTGTGCTCCGTCTAGATGTTGGCTTTCAAAGTTGGTGACCAGTAACGAGCACCCACATCTTGTGATTATGTTTCACTGCAGAGGCAAGGAAACTGCTGGGATTTTGCTTCCTTCTCTGCATGTCCAGTGTCCTAACCCCTGAGCCACTTTCAGGAGACCATTCCTCCCACTAAGGTCACGTCCTTTCCTGTGCTCCTTCTCAATTAAAATCATGCCATATCCTGGTTTGTTCACATAGGAGCCATACCTGTCTGGAATAACATTTTGTTTTTGCAGGAGTTTATTAATTGATTTAATTCTTTTCTTGTTTCCAAGGATGTGACTTTATCAGAATCTTTAATTTGGCCACACCCTCCGTATCAAAGATGTTCCTCCTCAGTGACAGAATGTTCCAATGTGGACTGGATCATCTTCAGGCTTGCTGAAGAGCTAGTAGCACCTTGAGATGTCCTTTTACTGCATTTCCAGATGAGATCCACTGTTTCCTGGATCCCAAGGCTCTCTCTTGGTCTTATCTTTCTTTCTTTCTTTCTTTTTTTTTTTTTTAAAGATTTTATTTATTTGAGAGAGAGCAAGGGAGCACAGGCGCGAGGGGGGAAAGGAGTGCAAGTGGGGAGATGCAGAACAGGAGGGAGAGGGACAAGCAAACTCTGCACTGAGTATAGAGCCCATCTTGGGGCTCGATCCCAGGCACACGAGATCATGACTTGAGCTGAAACCAAGAGCTGGATGCTTAACCAACTGAGCCATCTAGGTCCCCTCTTTCTTGCTTTTCTTGTTTTACCTGAGTACATCCTTAAGCTGCTTCTTCTGAAAGGGTGCTTAGAAAATAGAATTCCTACATATCTGATCTATTTTGATTTTCCTCTGTGATACCTCTGGGTACAGAATTCCAATCGGAAAATCATGCCCTCCAGAGGTTGGAAAGCACTCCTCCATTAGCTTGACACTCAGTGTGACTAGTGAGAAGTGTGTTGTCTCACTGATCTTCAGTCCTATGTAGGTTTTGCTTTTTTTCGCCTTTTGGACACTTTAGGATCTTTATATTTGCAAAGCTCAAGTTCCATGAGGATAGACCCAGCTGTGGTCTTTTGGCATTCATACTACTCAGTACCTCGCATTTTCAATCTTATTTTTTAAAAAGATTTCCCCCCACCTTTTTCACTGTTTCCTCTTGCTGGAATTCCCAACAGTCAAATTAGATCCATTTTTTTGATGGATTGATGGATAAGGCTTATGCTCAAAAAAATATATTCTCTATAATTTTGTCTTTTTGATCTGTGTTCTGGGAAGTTTCTTAAACATTTCCTCCCAACCCTTCCATTAAACTTCTGATTCTGTCATTTTAAAAATTTCCAGTGACTCTTACTTTGTCTCTGAGTTATGTCCTTCCCAAGAGCCTCCATTTCTTATTTTATGGATGCAAGAGCCCCTTTGGATCCTTATACGAAAACCAATCAGAATTTTCCTACATTCCTGTTTCTTAAATTACCTTTCACTTGTCCTATTACCTTATCCTGGCCTTATTTTTCACATTGTTGGTTTTCCTCGTTTTCCTGGTGATCAGCGTGTTTAAGAGGAAGGGGCCTGACTGATCGTATGTGTAGCTGGTGTTGGAGGCAGAGGCCAAGGTCATGTACTCAGTCTGCCATCTTGAATGGGCCACCCTGGAAACTTCTCTGGAGGTGAATGGCTGTACTTACACATGGGCCTTTGCCATGCTTTTAACAGTAAAGGGAAGGGTGGTCTGTAGGAGAAAAAGGTCAGTTAGTACAGGGGTCTTCAAAGCAATCGGAAGATCTGAGTGTTATTTCATGAGTTTTTGGGTCTAGTTATAGTTACGGGTGTGTATGTGCTGGGTCATGGTAGTAAGTGTAGTTCTTATTAAGGGTCACGGTAAATAAAGAAAAAGTTTTTTTAAGGAGAGCTTCTGGGTTTCAGTATGCTAAGTCCTAGTTTATCTGAACTAACTCAGTTGGATCGGTGAAACTGAGAAATTTTGGTAAGGGAATTTTAAAAAATCAGTCAATATGTTCAAATTGGATGCAGACTCCATTTAGTGATCTACTACATTCCCTCAGAAGAACATTTGTCTCCCTCCCCTGCCCTAGATCTGCTGTGGGTAGGTTCCTGGTAGCTATTCTGCAGGTGACCCTACTCCTTAGCCCACCGCGGTCTGGGCCAGGGAAAGCCCTTCATCCCAACTGAGTCAGAGGTCTTTCCTTGGAAACTTGAAATCGGAACCTAGAAAGCCATTCCTCATCTTTGAGGTGCTGTTGGCAGCCACATGCTCTGAAGGACGGGGAGGGCCAGTCTCCGGGGAAGAGAGGGATGGAAGATGGAAAGACCACCCCGCGCACTTCCAGGACCTGGTTTCAGTCAGGGGCAGAGCGAGGCTGGAGGAGGGTGGAGCCCAGGAATCAGGGCGCGCCTGCGCTGAAAAGATACCATGGCTGGTCGGGGATTCTAGCACCTTCGCTGTGCCACGTGGGGAGAGAAGGGGTAAACACACTTCCTTGCCCTGTGTACCTCCTGGTTCCAGGATCTGGCTGACATTCCCCTGTCCCCTGCCCTGGGGTTCTACGAGAATCTCGGTATCCCTAAAATAACTTCTGCTTTTTCACTTAAGCTAGCTCAAGTTGGTTTCTGGCACCTGCAGTCAAGGGATTGTAACTAATCTACAGTCAGAATTTCTCTCCTTTCCACTTCTCTGCATAACTTCTCTCTCGTGGGCTTCCGTCATTAGCAACACGGCCAAAGACTTAGGAGGTGCGACCGGGGCAAACCCTCCACGCTGACATTAAGCACGGAAGTGAAACACAGCTCACACCTTTTCAACTGTTCTTGCCCAGTGGTTCTTTCCTCTGGAATCCAGAAGCAGAGGTTTCCAGAATGATAGAGCCCCGCAATCCCAGACTTCCATGCACTCCCGCTGCCTTCTCAGTTCAGCAGAAAATGTCTCTCAATGTCTATCCCCACCCCTACCAAGAGCAGGAGCCACGTTAAGTGACTGAATAATGAAAAAAAAAGGCATTAATGTATGTGCTGCTCTTGGTGATTTCCTTAGATCTGCCACTCGAAGCTGCAGGAAATCCTCAGGGACAGGGGAGGCAGAAAAAACAAAGACAACCTGAGGCAAACGAATTTTCTTCTAGCCTTTTGCAAAGACCTAATCCTGCTGAGGGGATGGTGTAAAGTCTTCTTGGTGTTGGAAGGAGAGGCCTTCAAGAATTAGAGGAAAAGTGAGAATAAATCCTTTGGCCTGAGAGCCATCCCATGAGCAGTGGGGACTCTGGCTCTGTGGCAGGTACCCAGGGAGGCAGGCTCTCAGCGAGGATGGCTGCTGGTCTACCTCAGGAGGCCGACCAAGGGAAGGACACGAGCACGGTATTCAAAATATTTAACACCTTCTGGGAAAGCTGGAACAGACACTGGCCATAAGCAAGCACGTAAAAACCCTGCCAGTGAACACCAGCTAACTAGTACAGCTCTACTAGTGAACACAGGCTAAGTCTCAAAAGCCCTGGGGCTGGCATTTGTTTTTGGGTGCCTGGCATCCATCCCTGCCCAATAGGAGGTAAACAGGTAAATAGGGTAAAGAAAACCCGTTCTGAGCTGTCTCGGTGGATCTGTCAATCAAGGGCAAGCCTGAGCCAGGCCAGAGGGCTGCTGTCTCCTTGGCGTTGGACACTGAGTTGAGTGGAGCTAGCATCTCACACTTACTCTCCGGTGGGGGCAGCTTCCTCGAGGTTCCCGAGATCGCTCAGCTCGGCCTCTGCTACTGTTCTTTCTAGCTTTGGTCTGATGACTTTCTCTCCATGTTGCTCCCTTTCTGTAGATTCCGTTTTCTTAAGTAACCAGAACTGGTTTCTGTTGTTTACAACTGAAGGATTGTATCTCATCCTCCAAGGTTCCCATTTTCAACAAGGATTTCTACGCCCAGCGTATGGCACAGAAACCCAGAAGTCCAGACCCTGGCTGGACTCTCCTTGACCACAGTGGGTACTGACAGCCGGGAAGGGAGCAGCTACTATCCCAGTCCTGGACACGAGAGGCTCTGTGTCTTGTGAGACCACTTGAGCCCTGAGATTCTCATATAATTCTGGGGGCAAGAGACCCCAATAATGAGGTGGGGTTTCTTTCTATCTTTCTTCTTCTTCTTTTTAAAGATTTTATTTATTTATTTGACAGACAGAGACCACAAGTAGGCAGAGAGGCAGGCAGAGAGAGAGCAGGAAGCAGGCTCCCCTCTGAGCAGAGAGCCTGATGCGGGGCTCAATCCCAGGACCCTAGGACCTGAGCCAAAGGCAGAGGCTTTAACCCACTGAGCCACCCAGGCGCCCAAGGTGGGGTTTCTTAACCACCCTGATGGGATGGGGACTCAAGAGTCAAAATTACATCGACTTTAATTAAGGAGATGATGAAAATGACATTTCTTAGCACATGTGAGTTTGCGGGCTGAGCCTCATAGTTCCTGCATACGTTGTGCGGGGCTATGAACACAGATGGGATACGCCTTTGGATCTCTTGGCATGGACCCAGACTTTGCCAATACTGCCCATATACCCATAGCGCACTCAAGCCAACAGATGTGCCCTCCTGTATTTCTGCCTTTGGTGAAGACGTATGAACTAACGAAGATGCCCATTTTTCCTCCCTAGATGTCGATGGGTTGCTTCGGTCTGTTTTCTGGAGGATCCGTTTTGCCTCTGTCCCCACTAGTAACCTTCCCCCTTCTCTCATGCATGTGGTTCTTTTTTGTTTGGGAAAATGTCAGTGCTTGACCAATAATCCCACACTTGCTTTATTACGATAAAGATTGGCACATCCCTCAGACCAGCCGCTCTTAGCCTGGGCTGCGCGATGGAAATCCCTTGGGGAGTTTTAAAATGCTGATGCCTTTGTCCCTCCCTCAATGAACTGGGTTTCACTGATCTGGGGTGCAGCTTGAGAATGAAGGCTCTCAGTGCTCCCCAGGAGATTCGAAGGTGCAGCTCAGGTTGTGAGCTAGTGCCCAAGAACTCCCTCGAAATGTGTATTTAATTAGTGTGTGATGGGGCCTGGGCACCTGCATTTGAAAAAGCATCCCAGGTGACACTCATAGGTAGCCAGGGTTAAGAACCCTCTAACCCAGCTGGGAAAGCCCACTGCCCACGGGTGTCTTTACCAGGGCCTCTCAAAGCGTGGTCCTCAACCCTGTGGCATCAGCATGTTCCGGGGACTTGGTGGAAATGCAATTCTCAGCACCCCACCCTGCCCCCCAATCTACCAAATTGGAAACTCTGGGTTGCGGCCCAGCCGCCTGGGTTTTCACGGGCCTCCAGGTGATTCTACTACTGCCTATGCTTGAGAACCGGTGTTTTTCGTTCTTTGCTATCTCCAGGGTCACTCTCCCTAGCCTGGTCTGTCAACAGTGCTTCCTTATGGTCAACAGAATTCTTTACCTTCCCATCAAGCATCCTTTCCTCTGCTACGGAGCTTTGTGGACACAAAGGGCCATTCTCCCCTGTGTGCGTGGACAGAACTCTTCCCCGCCACACTCCTGTTCCGGCCGCAGGTGGAGATTACATTGCCCAAGCCCGAAAGGCAGTCTGGAGTTACCTCGATCTCACTGTCCCCTGCTGGGGAGGGGTCGCTGCTCCGCTTGGAGCGGCCTCGGAGCTTCCCGTCGGAGGCCCGGGGCGGCCGGTCCATGTCTCCCTCTTTTGCCGGCGTGGAGGGTCCGTTGTGCGTGTTATATTCACCTGGTGCAGGAAACAGAAGTGTGGACATATCAGAAGCTCGGCTGAGTGTCTCCTCCCAGGAAAATATCTCCCGACCGGAACCAAGTCCACAGTTCTAGGCCCCAGGGGCGGCACAGAAGGCAAAGATCTCATGGGATCAGAACTGCTCCGGACGGTCCCTCTGGCTGCCTGCTCATAACCATTCCCTCCTGGAGCAAGGGCTCATTGAGCAGGCAAAGTCCCAGGCCCTGCTTCTCACACACCTTAACTTCTAGAGGGAGGAGAGGGGCCTTAGGCAAACAAGTGAGTATCTAACAGACTAGGCGAGGACATGTTACAAATGGGATGCAGGCGGGGAGTGCTGGGAGGTTACTAACTGCTCCGGGGCTAGTCAGGGAGGGCCTCACGGGTAAGGGGACACCTGAGGGGAGATCTAGGGCAGGGAGGATGGGTCGCTGGGGGAACTGTAGGGATAGGGAGCAGAGTTTTATGTTTGCAACTCTATATCCCAAAGCCTGAGAATCCCCAGCCAAACAGAAGGAAGAAAATCAGTATTTAAAAGGAGAGGGGCAGCAAACTTTTCTTTTTTCTTTTTTTTTTAAGATTTTATTTATTAGGGCGCCTGGGTGGCTCAGTGGGTTAAGCCGCTGCCTTCGGCTCAGGTCATGATCTCAGGGTCCTGCGATCGAGTCCCGCATTGGGCTCTCTGCTCAGCAGGGAGCCTGCCTCCCAATCTCTCTCTCTGCCTGCCTCTCTGCCTACTTGTGATCTCTGTCTGTCAAATAAACAAATAAAATCTTTAAAAAAAAAAGATTTTATTTATTATTTGACAGAGAGAGACATAGTGAGAGAGGGAACACAAGCAGGGGGAGTGGGAGAGGGAGAAGCAGACACCCCGCTGAGCAGGGAGCCCAATGCGGGGCTCGATCCCAGGACCCTGAGATCATGACCCGGGCTGAAGGCAGAGGCTTAACCCACTGGGCCACCCAGGTGCCCCTGTGCTGTGTTTTTAAGCACGGAAGTTTGAAATACATGGCTTTTTATCAGAGTCTATTGTCTTTATTGAACTTGTAAAGTAGGATGACATTCATCAGTATTACCCTGGACATTAATGTTAGAGGCAGAAGCGAAGTCTGGGCCAGTCCCCATTGCTAGAGTAACAGAAGCCTGCAACGGCACGAAACCATGGAGGGCACCCCATCCCGCTCTCTCATTTCACAGCTGCTGGGATTAGTTCCTAAATGTATCCTGAGGACTTCATCTCTCCTTCCATAATTGCCAGTTCTTGGATCATAAGGAGGGAAATGCTTTTGTCTAAAACTACTTGGCAATGGACTGATTTTCTTCCCTACCCTGGAAGGACGATTTCCCTCCAAAACCCAAGGGACTGAACTTGGTTTACTTAATATTTCTAAAACTTCTTAGCAGACTAAGGACATAATAAGAAAAGGCTTGGTTTTGCGTTGTCAGGACTGCGGGGCCATCTCCAACTCCCCAGCATTTTCAGGACACAGCATGAGAGATTCCCAAATATCCATCTTGCCAAGACTTTCTTCTGGACGGCGGGGAAGAGGCGGTAGAGAAATTCACAGATGTTTAAGAGTCGTAGATAAGGTTTATCCTGATTCATATGGTAGTTCTGAGGCTATGGGGGCTTAGAAAACATGTTGATCCCATCAAAACCCAGGAAAATATTATTTAAAAAGGGAGATAGACCAGGCATCTAAGAAATGTCTAAATAAGATGTGGGGGAAGCCAATATACGGAGTCTCCCAAGGCGCCTGCATGGCTAAACGTCTGTCTTCGGCTCGGGTTCTGATCTCAGGGTCCTGGGACTGAGCCTCCCAAAGGTACGGGCTCCTTGCTCAACAGGGAGCCTGCTTCTCCCTCTCCCTTTGCCCCTCCTCCCCGCCCCTTCCCACATAAGCTCTCTCTCTCCCTCTGCTCTCTCTCTCAAATAAATAAAATCTTAAAATCTTTTTTTTTTTTTTAAAGATTTTATTTATTTATTTGAAAGAGAGGCAATGAGAGAGAGCATGAGCGAGGAGAAGGTCAGAGGGAGAAACAGACTCCCCGTGGAGCCGGGAGCCCGATGCGGGACTCGATCCCGGGACTCCGAGATCATGACCTGAGCTGAAAGCAGTCGTCCAACCAACTGAGCCACCCAGGTGCCCCAAAATCTTAAAATCTTAAAATCTCCCTTCCCACCTCTGAAAGCAGCCCTTTCCCCAACCTTTTACATTCTTGAGAATGAAGTGCCAGGATTCAAAGTTCATGGTCAAAGGTACAGAGGTTAAGCAATTTACGTAAACCTTCTTTGGGGTCATTTCACTCTTTTTCTTTCTCCTTCCTTACACTTTTACATGACTTCCAAGAGTTTTCTTGTAAACCCTCTGTGATCTCTTCCTCCCGTCCCACTCCTCAGGTGACCACTGATACACGTTCTCTCATTAGAAATTAGTTTGCTTTTTCCAGATTTTAAATAAATGAAATCAGGCAGTATGTATTCTTTTTTGTCTGGCTTCTTCCAGCCAGAATAACTGTTTTGTGATTCGATCCATGTTGTCACGTATATGGACAGACCATTCCTTCCTGTTGCCGAGCACGATTCTATCGCATGGATATACCACCCTCCGTCTGTTCACCTGTGGACGAACATTTTGATTGATTCCAGTTCTGGGATGGAATGAAGCTGCTGTGAACATTCACACATCGATGCTGGTATGCATGTAAGCTTTCTTTTCACCAGCGTGATTACAAGGTCAGGTGGTGAGTCTATGTTTGACTTTTTAAGAAACTGCTAAATGGTTTTCCAAAGTGGTTATACCATTTCACACTCCCACCAGAGGGGTAAGAGACTTCTAGTTTGCTCCACATCACTGCCAACCTTTGGTATGGTCCATCTTCACAACTACAGTTATTCTAAGAGGTACGCATTGTGGATTTGATTTGGACTTCTCTAGTAACTAACGATCAGCATCTTGATTATGTACTTTTTTTTTTTTTTTTTGCTGTCCCTGTGTCTTCTTTGGTAAAGTGTCTGCTCAAATATTTTGCCCATTTCATTACTGAGTTGTTTGTTTTCTTAGTCTTGGGTTTTGAGAATTCCTTATATATTACATGCATGTGATGGTTAATCTTGTGTGTCAAGTTGATGGGCGGGTAAAGCATTATTTCTGGGTGTGTCTATTTGGGTGTCTCCAGAAGAGATTAGCATTTGAATCAGTAGACTGAGAATAGATCTGCTCTCACCAGTGTGGGGGAGAGGTGCATCACCCATTCCACTGAGGGCCCACATAGAACAAAAAGGCAGAGAAAAGGCAAATTATCTTTCTTCTTGAGTGGAAATGTCCATCCTTGCCTGCCTCCGACATTGGAGCTCCTGGTTCTCAGGCCTTCTGACTCAGACTAAATTGCACTACCGGCTTTCCTGGCTCTCCGGCCTGCTGGAGGTGGATCATGGGATTTGCTGATCTGAGCCATTTCTTACAATAAATCTCCTCTTATCTCTCTCTCCTGCTCTCTCTCTCTCTCTCTCTCTCTCTATCTTACTGGTTTCTTTGGAGAACTCTAATACAACATACTTTCTCAGATACATGCTTTGCAATTATTTTTTTTTTCCCAGACTGTGTCTTTTCTTTTCATTCTCCTAACAGTGTCTTTCAAAGAGCAACTGTTTTAAAATTTTGTGAAGCCAATTTATATAATTTATGTTCTTTTTGGATGTTTTGGTGTCTTATATTAGAACTGTTTGCCTAGCCCAAAGTCACAAAGACTTTCTCCTGTTTTCCTTAGAAGTTTTATGGTTTTATGTTTACGTCTATGGTCTATTCTATGTTAACTTTTTTATATCATGTGAGATATGGACTGAAGTAGAGTTTTTCTGAATATAGAGATATCCAATTGTTCCAGAATCTTTTGTTGAGAAGACTGTCCTTTCTCCACTGAATTGTCTTGAAATTTTATCAAAAATCACTTGTCCGGGGCACCTGGGTGGCTAAGTGGGTTAAGCCTCTGCCTTCGGCTCGGGTCATGATCTCAGGGTCTTGGGATCGAGCCCTGCATCGGGCTCTCTGCTCAGCAGGGAGCCTGCTTCCCTCTCTCTCTCTCTCTCTCTGCCTGCCTCTCTGCCTACTTGTGATCTCTGTCTGTCAAATAAATAAATAAAATCTTTAAAAAAAAGATCACTTGTCCGAATACATGTGCATTTATTTCTGCATTCTTTATTCTGGTACCTTGATCTACTTGTCTATCTTTATGCCATGATTGTCTTGTCTCCCATCTTGCCATGATTACTATGGCTCTGTAATAAGTCTTAAAATCAGGTTGTGTTAGCCTTCCAACTTTGTTTTTCTGTATCAGAGCTACTGAGGCTATTCTAAGTCCTTTGTTTCTCCCTGTGAAGTTCAGAATCAGCTTGCCAATCTCTACAGAAAAGAGTGGGATGTTGACAGAGACTATGTTAAATACATAAATTAATTAGTAGAGAACTGACATCTTTTTTTAAAAAAGATTTTTATTATTTATTCAACAGACAGAGACACAGTGAGAGAGGGAACACAAGCAGGGGGAGTGGGAGAGGGAGAAGCAGGCTTCCTGCTGAGCAGGGAGCCCAATGCAGGGCTTGATCCCAGGACCCTGGGATCATGACCTGAGCTGAAGGCAGATGCTTAATGACTGAGCACCCCAGGCGTCCCAGAGAACTGACACCTTAATAATATTAAGTCCTCTGAGCTGTGAGCCCTTTACCTTTACTAAAGTCTTCACTTCTTTCAGTAGTGCTTTGTAGTTTTAAATGTACAACTCTTGTACAACTTTTGTTAGATTTATTTAATAGCACTGAATATGAAATGAAATAAAGTGAAATAGCATTGAAATGAAAGTATCCAATTTTTTTGATAGTACTATAAATGGTCTTTAAAACTATCTTATTTTCAGGTGCCTGGGAGGTATAGTCAATTAAGTGTCCAACTCTTGGTTTTGGCTCAGGTCATGGTCTTACAGTCTTGAGATCAACCTTC